GCCTCTGGTAGAGGACCTGAGATTGAGGAAGACACGTACCACCCATAGGGGTGAGAGGAGAATTTTTTTTTTAAATAAACAGTATAAACTATTTCCTGTTATATATAACACTGGGCCCCAAAGACAAACCAGAGGCTCTTCATAAAAAATGCAGATTATCAAACATGTAACATCACAAACAGTAATGCCCATGCAAGCATTTTTACAGGCTTTATGAAATATTTTAAAGACATTTAAGTTAGCCTGAAACATTCTCAACTCAAGGAGTATATAGACAACTACTTGACTTACCTGGGAAGGAACTGGAGACTGCACATTGCATACCTTCTTAATGGCCCTGTACAAGTCATCTTTAGTCCCTGTGATAATACAAACGACTAATTGTATAGAACCCTTAAAAAACAGAAAGGGGAAGTAAGTAACTAGCTTGCAATAAGACCATCAAATACCAGTATACTATCATGGTTTAGTCATATCTGAGGTGAAACTACTCTAATTTATTAGATTTATATCCTGCCTTTATTTTATGGAACTCAAGGAGGTGTACCTAACGCTCACTTCTTGTATTTTCCCCACGACAAGAACCCTGAGAATTGGGTTGAGCTGAGAGACAGCGACTGGCCCAAAGTCACCCAGCCCAGAGTCTCACAATCTCCTGATTTCTAGACAGCACCTTAACCACTATACCAAACTGGCTCTCCACCATTATTTTATAATAGCAAACTGACCAAATATTTATTGACATCTGTCAAGTTACACACAGCATGACCAAGAAAGCAAGAAACACACAGCCATCAATAAGAAGTTCTAATGCAAGAATTAAAGGTAAGGGACACCATCTTAAAGACTGCGGTAGAAACCTCCAGCCTTTTGTTAAGGCAAACACTTGAGTTATCTTCTTGATATTTTGATGTCAGGTTTATGAAGAGCTCTCCCCAGGTCATAGTCTCCACACATATTCCTAGGTACATGGAAGGAACAATGACTGACTGTGCTGTTAGTCTCTCTCTCTTTGGCCACTCAGAATGTTTTGGTGGTTCCTGCACTGAAATCTATTTAGTCCAGTGGAAAGCATTCAACTGAATGAGAATCGCTCTCTCTTTCTACCACCTGGGCCACCTTTTTGGACCCACAAACATAACTGTAAATGGTGAGTGGTACAGTGGTGCTTAATAGTTTGAGAACCCTTTTGAATTTCCAATATTTCTGCATAAATATCACCTTAAAATGGACCTGAAGCAGGTAGTTCATGCCCACTAACATCCCTGAGCTGAAGCTGTTCTGTAAGAGGGAATGAGCTAAAATTCCTCCAAGCTGATGCGCTAGACTGATCAACAGTTATTGGAAATCTTTAGTTGCAGTTATTCCTGCCCAAGGGGGGCACCCCAGTTACTGAAAGCAAAGGTTCACATACTTTTGCCACACACAAATATGTGGCTTTGGATCATTTTCCACAATAAGTCAATAAACAAGTGTAATGTTTTTGATTCATTTGTTTAACTGGGTTCTCTTTATCTAGTTTTATGACCTGTGTGGAGAACAGATCATGTTTTAGGACATATTTATGCAAAAATATTGAAAATTTAAAACGGTTCACAAACTTTTAAGCACCACTGTGTATGTCTAGCGCCAAGCAGGAGCACAGGTCATCACAAAGGGCAGGAATCCAGTTTCAGACCTGAATGCCAGGCTATATTTTTGACTCTACATTGCACAAAATATGAATCCAATAGAATCCAAACTGTTGAGGCTCAGCAGCTAGTAACTTATCTAAAAAGCTGAGTGCACAATTTCAAACCTATGCTCACTTGATTCCATTAAGATTTACTAAGATCAGATTTCAGAAGATTGCTCTGTCCAACCCAATCACACATTTCCTTTCCATCTCTCCCCCCCTTCCTGTCTCTTAATCCTCTGTATCTCAATATACTTTGTTCGAAAATCAAGATCACTCCGCAATACAATAACTTCATTGCGGTCATCAACCAGCACAAACAAGATAATTGAAGCTGCAAGAGAAAAACATCAAAGAGGGAGAGGAGAAAAAACCAGAAACAAGCTGGTGAGAAGAGTGAACTCCTTGGTGGGCACCTTGCATATTTCTTGAGTGATGCTCCCAGCACACCATTCAAATGCTATGTCCAAGTATAGTCAATAGCCTAAGATCACAAACCTGTAAAATACACACCTCACTACTTAGCAATGATTTGATAGCTCTGACATAAGTCTCTATTCTGTCATCCTTCAATTCTTTCCAAACAGGTGGGGTCAGCGGGATATCAAGTGGACCCGAGACTTTCTGCAGCATGCTGACTAGTTCATGTACTTGCTCCATTGTCCGCTTTGGATAAAACAGTGCCCAGTAATGAACTGGAACCTAAGAAACAGAAGTCAACATACTTCATTTCAACATATGCTAAAAAGTGTGGCTTCCCAGGTATTTGAGGATATTAATATATTTTTACTACACAGTTATTTGTATTTTACGTTTGTGTTTTGTAACCATCCCGGAAGCTATAATTAAAGTGGGAATGAAATTTTAAAAGCAAAATGAATGAAGACAAATTGTTACTGATCACCTCTGCACTGTAGGCTGTCTTTGCTAGCCTACTCAAGGAACTAAAACAGTAGCTTCCTGTGCAGGAAATGACGACAAGGAGGAAAGGATTTCTAAGCAACCAGCCTTACTCCCAACTTGGGAGCTGGAGTGGCAATTGCTGCACGACAGCTGGGATATTCCAGGCCACCTCTGCCACTTTAAAATTGGAAAGATGACTGGCTGCCTGTTATACTCTTTGGAATGTGTAAATTGGGTAAGCAATGAATAGGTGTAGTTATTATGTTTGTTTCTCTTTGCCTGATGTCAATTCATTTCTACTACTTTGTCATTTATTACAGTAACTGTCTATAATCAGTCTATTACATTCAGCAGGCAAACTGAAGATTTTTGCCTCTCCTCCCAAGGTTCCCAGAAAACCTCAAGAAAGATTGTACTGCAGTGCCACATCTCTATGTGCTCAATGGAAGGGGAACAAGCAAGCCAGATAGATAAGAAGTCATGGTCTTATCATCCACTGTACATACAGTGGGGCAAAAAAGTATTTAGTCAGCCACCAATTGTGCAAGTTCTCCCACTTAAAAAGAAAATCCAGAAAATCAGAGTGTCTGATTTTTAAAGAATTTATTTGTAAATAAATCCAGAAAATCAGAGTGTCTGATTTTTAAAGAATTTATTTGTAAATAAATCCAGAAAATCAGAGTGTCTGATTTTTAAAGAATTTATTTGTAAATAAATCCAGAAAATCAGAGTGTCTGATTTTTAAAGAATTTATTTGTAAATAAATCCAGAAAATCAGAGTGTCTGATTTTTAAAGAATTTATTTGTAAATAAATCCAGAAAATCAGAGTGTCTGATTTTTAAAGAATTTATTTGTAAATAAATCCAGAAAATCAGAGTGTCTGATTTTTAAAGAATTTATTTGTAAATAAATCCAGAAAATCAGAGTGTCTGATTTTTAAAGAATTTATTTGTAAATAAATCCAGAAAATCAGAGTGTCTGATTTTTAAAGAATTTATTTGTAAATAAATCCAGAAAATCAGAGTGTCTGATTTTTAAAGAATTTATTTGTAAATAAATCCAGAAAATCAGAGTGTCTGATTTTTAAAGAATTTATTTGTAAATATGTGATTTTCTGGATTTTTTTCCTCATTTTGTCTCTCATAGTTGAGGTATACCTATGATGAAAATTACAGGCCTCTCTCATCTTTTTAAGTGGGAGAACTTGCACAATTGGTGGCTGACTAAATACTTTTTTGCCCCACTGTATGGGCAAGCATCATTCAGTTTGACCCAGGGATAGAAGTGTGTAATCTGTAAGTCATAATAACAATGCCCACTTTGACCATTTTTAACGACAATAATATGAAATATAAATCTTATTACAATTATCTGCCTGAAACTTTGCCTATTTTTTTTCTTGCACACACAAAGAGATGTGTAAAAGGAAGAGTTGGCAACCACATAGACAGACTTTCGCCAGGATGATCTCTCCCCAACTTGGCCTTTAAACCTCTCAGTGGTGCATCAAGTGCTGTTTTCATCATCTCCATCCACCTGCTACTGGTCATCCCTTTTTACTCTTTCCTTCCACTTTTCCTAGCATTACAGTCTTCTCAAGGCAGCTGGGTCTTCACATAATGTGCCCAAAATATGACAGTTTGAGCCTGGTCATCTGTACCTTGAATGAGAACACTACATTGATTTGTTCCACGGTCCATTCGTTTTCCTAGCTATCCATAATGTTCTCAAGCCTCCTCCAACACCAAACTTCAAACACATCAATACTCTTTCTGTCCTGATTCTTCAAAGTCCAACTTTCACATTCATAAAGTTTCTCAGGGAAAACCACTGTCTGCATAATTCTAATCTTTGTAGTTACAGACACACCACAGCACCTTAATATTTTTTCCAAGGTCTTCACTGCTATTCTACCAAGTGCTAGTCTGTGGTGTATTTCTCGATTGCTGCTTCCTTCACTGTTGATAGTTGATCCTAAAAGACAAAGCTATCCACTGTTTCAGTGCCTTCAGTCGATACTATGGATAGTTATTGTATCCGTTGTCATTAGTTTAGTCTTCTTTATATTTTAGTCCCATTTTTTTCTCCTGTGCTCCTTGACTAGAGCTTGCAGATCATTTGCATTTTCAGCTATCATAGTATTTGTCATCATAATGCAAGTTATTAATATTTCTTCCTCTGATTTTAAAACCACACTTATCTTCTTCCAGTCCAGCCTCCCTCAATATATATTCAGTGGATAGTCTGAATACATAAGGAGAGAGTGTACAGCCTTATCCCACTTCTTTGCCAACCTGCAACCAGTCTGTCAACCTGTTCTATCAGAACTGAGCACAGTAAAATGTTCTGGGTTTCCGATTTTCCTAAGGATATTCCACAGCTTGACATGTTTGACACAAAGGCTTTTTTATAATCAACGAAGCACACACTGACTTCTTTTGCATATTCTCTGGCTTTCTGAGTTATCCAGCATGCATCAACAATAATGTATCTTGTTCCTCAGCCTTTTCTAAAACCAGTTTGAATATCTGGCATCTACCTTTCTGTGTGTGGCTCTAATCTGCAGTGGATGAACTTGAGGATCATTTTGCTAGCATGGGAAATTAAAGGTATTATATGAGAGTTTGCATACTGTTAAGTTTCCTTCTTTGGTATTGATATGTAGACTGACCTCTTTCAATCTGTTGGCTACTCTATTGTTCTCCAGATTTGCTGGCATAGTTTGGCTAGAACTTTTACTGCTGCTTCTTCTGTTGCTTGCCATATTTCTGTAGAAATATTTCCATCAATTCCTATAGCCTTCTGACTTGATAATGCCAGGCAGCTGATCTAGCGTCATCTTCTATTAGTAGAGATTTTTCTAAATAGGAAATATCTTCCAAGATATCTTGGATTTGCCATCCCTCCTGTACAGACTTTCAGTATAGTCCTTCCATTGCTATTTGAACTTCTTTGAATCAACTACTATCTGTCCTTTAGCATTCTTTGGCATACCTATTCAAGATCTGAACCTCCTTCTGAGTTCAGAGATCTTTTGGAAAACTTTGTTTTTTTGTTTCTATCTTCAGTGTCTTTACAAATGTTGCTGTAATATGGTTCCTTTTCTTCTACCAGCTTTCTACAATTATTTGTTAAGATCCTTCCTGAAATCCTTTTTTTCTGGCTTTGGCTTCTCTTCTCTTGACAATTTTCACTACTGGTTCTGACATCCAGTTTCCTTTCTTCTGTTTCTTTGACTGTGGCATTTTTTTTCATATTTGTCTTTAACAAAGCAGTTCCTGAAGTCTTCCATGAAAATGGTCAGTATATGCTCAAGAACATATTGCAGAAGCTAGTTGGATTTGTTCTTTCACTTTAGCTTGATGTGGAACTCACACAGAGCCAGTTCACTATCTGTTCCAGAATTAGCCCCTGGCCACTTCTATACTGTTATAACTGAGCTCTTCCATCTCCTTGTACCAAAAATGTAGTCTATTTTACTTCTGTATCCTCCATCTGGTGGTGTCTGTGTATAAAGTCAACTTTTGGATGTCTGAGGCATGTGTTAGCAATGAAAAAATGATTAGATTGGCAGCAAGTAATTCTCCTGCTTCATTTCTGTTTCCTAGACCATAAGTCCAATTATGTCTTCCTCCATACTACTTCCAACTTTGGCATTCCAGGCTCCAACCACAAGCAGCACATCTTGATTTCACATTCTGTCAACTTCAGATTGAACTTGACACAAAACTGGCCAACTTCCTCTTCTTCCATATCATGGAAAACAAAGAGGAAGAAACTGGACAAGAAAGTACCACAGACTTTATTGTTCATACACCTTTCCAGTTGTACATTGCAGAAAATGTTGGGTCAACTGTTACACCCTACGGAAGTGTGCCCCCATTCAAAATTAAGCTTACTGCAGAAATGCAGGATTCTCTGCTGACTTCTTTAGTCCAGTTTAAGTCTTCAGAGGCACTGAAGGAGCTCTTCTTCAGATTTATTCTTTCCATGGGGAGGATGCGTCCTTTGGTCTGAAACAAAAGAAAACAGTCAAGAAGAATATGAGGCTAAACCTGGGGCAGCCTTCAGCCTACTTGAATTCCAGAACTCAGCACCAAATATGCCTTAAAGCAGACAAAACTCTTTCCTTCAACACTGCCCACCCTCCAACTTCTTTGTACAAATTCAACATTTTTAGATGTTTGGAATCTCTGGCTATTACACAGACTTAAAACAGGTTAGGCAAAAGTTTTATGATTTTCAGTATCTATGAAGTTGTGCAAGGCAGAACCTCAGAACGGAGAACTGTATTTAGCTCTATAAAACTTAATAAGATGACAGAGAAAAAAATGTATTACATACTAATGTATAATCTCTCTCCTGATTACCTCTTCTGTTACGGAAGTGACATGTAAAGGGTAACCTTTAAGTCACATGTAAACTGCAAGCAATATTCTGCTACCCACCATGTAGTTTCAACTCAACTTTGCAAACAATCAAGTCAGACCTTTGGCAAACATTATCCATCTTTCCCTGCAAGATACAGTGAGCTCCAATTCACTTTTTACTTTGGCTCCACATCCTGCTTGCTTCAGCCCCATCTACCATGCAGCCCATGGCAGAAGAAAGTTTGCCCACCCTTTCTTAGAGCAAAGCAGTCAAACATCCAAGCACTGGACAGAAGGAATCCTGCTGAACTCGTCAGTCACAAAAAAAGGAACAACTCTCTCCCCAATTTGACTTCCTCAAAATTTCTGAAATTCATTTGTACTGTAATATGCAACATCCTCATGAAGCCTGCAGTTTCCCAATGTGAGAAGACAGATTCTGAGAAGATGGTGAACCAAAATTACAGGTAGAAAAGGAGTAGACAGAATTAAACTTTAAATTCAAGTAGTCATAGAAAAAAAGTCTCCCTCTTTGTGAGGTGCAACTTTGAAAAGATTTTAGATTCTTCAGCTCAGTTGCCCCTGAGCTTCTAGTAATCAGGTATAAAATTATTGCCAAAGAAGACTCAGTCCTGGCCACCAGCTCATGGCAGGGATGAGGAGACAAACGCGGAGACCAGTTTCACACAACTTTCTGATCAGGCCCTAGGTATTATTACCCTTGGGTAGTTAACATTATTCTTGGCACTTTCCAGGAGTGAACAGCCTATCCATTTTCTGTTATTAACAGTTGTCCTAGATGCTGAAAAGTAATCACAGAATAAAGAGAATAAATAGCTTAGTCATTTGTTTTCTGCAATATAGTTAGCATAAACCAAAGAAAAATTGAGATAGTGGTGTATCAATCTATTTTTGTGAAGATCATTTTTCATCAAATATGCAGGATCCCATCAGACAAAGCTAAACCATTGGCAAGCCTAACACAAACTTTCCTTACCTTATAAACATCCCCATCCAAGCAAAGCCCCCACCGGGACAGTTCCTTGTGGGCAGCCTCATTCTTCTCAATTCTGCTCAGAAGCTGACACAGGGAGACATGATGCTGTTTAGGACTCAAGTTGATCTGCTGCGTAAGGTCCTAAGCAGAGTGTGTACAGACAGGGAAGAGGCACTTCAGCTTGTATTCAAAAAGGAAGCATACATAACTCACTGTCAGCAAAGCAACAGTTTGAAGAAGGAGCTTCTCCAGTTACTTTGCTTTTAACTCCACAAGCAACAGAAATCAGGAGTGTTTGCGCATAAAAAACAGGAGGAGCTTTGTTCACACTGTCATTGGTCACCATCATGACTTTTTTTTAACCACATCCTGTAAGAACCTCTGAAAGAATCCTCCCTGTATAATATTTAATAAAACTTTGTTCATAGCAGAAGTCATGATTTATTCCAATTCCAAGGCAAAAATGTTTCAGATTTCAGTTCCGCCAAACTGCAGTCTGAAATTAATATGATCATTTTGAGTTGGCAACAGAACACATCTTCCATTTTGCACACACCCCTACAATCCAAGCAGAAGCCACCAAGTCCTCTCTTAAGCCCCTGCAAGAAATAGCAGGGATAAATGACAGGGGTAAGATAACTCCTCTGGAAAGTTAGCTTATCAACAGGATTGAAAAGGGTGACCTTTACTGCTTCATTTTTAAAAACTTATTAGATGCATATCCCACCTTTTTGTTCTATACAACTCAAAGTGGCATACTTTATGCTTCTGCCTCCTATTCTTCCCACAACAATCGCGTGAGGTAGGTTGGGCTGAGAGAGAGGGACTGGCCCAAAGTCACACAGTCAGCTTAAGGGAGAACGAGAACTTGGGGCCTTCCAGGATCTAATCTAGCACCTTAACCACTACATCTTGAAAAATACGTTCAATAACGTATTTACAAGAAAAATATCATTACTGTCTTGTGATCTCAGTGGGAGTAGTAAATCATTAGCGATTACAACTTTTGGTTAGCCTGATTAGAAAAGCTTAAAACATCAGTCATCATTACTTGACCACCCAGCTACCTTAAATCGCTGGGAGGCCAAGGGAATCACTCTTCAGGCACAGCGAGATCAGAAGACTTCAGCTGCTACAATGGACTACTTTGAAGCAACATAACCAGGGATTCTGAATGGCCAGCTATGACTTAAAGTTGGGTGAGAGGCCAAATATTTGATATAAGAGGTTGAGAATTTTATAAATAGATTCCAATTCTGTATAAAACATATAACCAAGAACCTTCATAATTCTAAAATCTTTCCTCATCTTCTCAGGAATGCCTGTCAAGAAGGAGAGTTCTGGCAGTAGCAGGATTTCACCCTGCTGCAGCTGCAGGAAAATCAAATACAAAACCTATTAGCACACATGATATAGAGAAATAAATTATTAGTATCAGCTGGGCTTATGTATACTATATATACTTTACATAATAAGGATGGAAAGGGAAATCTGATGGCAACAACATCAGGTGGCAAAACCAAACAGGTGGTGCAGGGTTGGTTTTTTTAATTGTCACCATTTTCTCCCTAAACCCTGTGGATAAAAGATGTAAGCAGTACCCGGAATAGTACAGGGCTAGCATATCTAACACAAGAGCTAATGGCTTATGACTCACTGGCTGGCTAATGCTCAGAGATGCCCTTTCTTAGCACTAATAAGACCACCTTCTCTTCCTGTCTGTTGCTGGATTTTTAATCTGGAACACTCAAGTGCCTGGCAAACAATAGCCAACCTCTAACACTATGCCTGCCCAAACACATCCATTCATACAAGGCCAGAATCATTCTTAAACTAGGAGAGCAATGGGTATCACAGCTTAAAGCTTCCCTCTAAATTGGCTAGACTATTTAGAAAAAAACTAAGATGGTAGGAAGTGCTAAAGGGAATGGTGGGAGAAATTGAAGCTTTGAGTGATCACACCGACCATGACATCTGTTCTGTAAGGATTCCTACATTCCTCTGTAAAAGCTCCAAAGTTGGAGCCCAGAAAAATTGGGACATCCCCAGCCCAGAAAAGTTGGGACACCTTGCCCAGAGATAGGTCACATAAATCAAGCCATCAGCATCCTAGTGATGCCTGCATTACAAATGACAACAATTGTTTGCTTCTAAATGCAACTGCTCAAGTTCTCACTTTTCCTGGAGGATTTTTTCTTTCATCAGGTCTGTGAATCAACAGTGGCTGGTCAAGTTCTCTGATGGTAATCCCATAATTTTTACTGGAAAGAGAAGGTTACATGAATTCTAAGGGGGAAAAAAACTTGCTTGATAGCTTCAAATATCAATAGTTAAAAGACTAATAAAAACTCCAATTAAGCCAAAGTTAGGGCTAACCCTTTAACAAGTCTTAAACAAGCTACTGAATGCCTCACTCCCATTAAGCATTTCCTTTCCCATTTTATCTCAACACCTTAAAAACAGTGAATCATAACCATTTACCTGTAATACTCCACAAAAGTGATTTCTTTCCCATCGGACATGGTAAAACTGCTCTTTGGTGTCTTGTTCCAGTCAATGTCATCAATCCGGTAAGTGTTATTGTTGTAACGGGTAATTATAATGTTGCCAATAAGTTGCTTTATACATTCATCTTGGAAATTTTCCCGACTCTGTTGATAAACTGCATGCCTTTGTGAAAACAGAAATGCTTAAAGTTAAAAACCAGGAAGACGCAGGATCTAATCTCGAGTTTATCAGCTGACCTTAGGCAGTCTATTTGCTCCACCGGCAGCACCCTTATGTGTCAAACACACTCACTTACCGTAACTCTGCAATGCTTTGGAGTCCTTGGTGCTCTCCGAGCTTGGCTGTTTGCTTGCAGACTTTTCATTACCCAACTAAGTAACATCATCAGTGCTAGGGAGTGTGGGGTTTCCTCCCTGTTTCTATAGGTTTCCTCCCTGTTTCTACAACTCGAAAAATTAGAATATCGTGCAAATGTTCATTTATGTCAGTAAGGCAACTCAAAAGGTGAAACCAATATATGAGCTAGACGCATTACATGCAAAGCGAGATATGTCAAGCCTTACTTTGGTATAATTGTGATGATTATGGCGTACAGCTTATGAAAACCCCAAATTCACAATCTCATTCATTTATGTCAGTAAGGGAACTCAAAAGGTGAAACCAATATATGAGCTAGACGCATTACATGCAAAGCGAGATATGTCAAGCCTTACTTTGGTATAATTGTGATGATTATGGCGTACAGCTTATGAAAACCCCAAATTCACAATCTCAGAAAATTAGAATAGTGTGAAAAGGTTCAATATTCTAGGCTCAAAGTTCATTTATGTCAGTAAGGGAACTCAAAAGGTGAAACCAATATATGAGCTAGACGCATTACATGCAAAGCGAGATATGTCAAGCCTTACTTTGGTATAATTGTGATGATTATGGCGTACAGCTTATGAAAACCCCAAATTCACAATCTCAGAAAATTAGAATAGTGTGAAAAGGTTCAATATTCTAGGCTCAAAGTTCATTTATGTCAGTAAGGGAACTCAAAAGGTGAAACCAATATATGAGCTAGACGCATTACATGCAAAGCGAGATATGTCAAGCCTTACTTTGGTATAATTGTGATGATTATGGCGTACAGCTTATGAAAACCCCAAATTCACAATCTCAGAAAATTAGAATAGTGTGAAAAGGTTCAATATTCTAGGCTCAAAGTTTTCATAAGCTGTACGCCATAATCATCACAATTATACCAAAGTAAGGCTTGACATATCTCGCTTTGCATGTAATGCGTCTATCTCATATATTGGTTTTACCTTTTGAGTTGCCTTACTGACATAAATGAACATTTGCACAATATTCTAATTTTTCGAATTTCACCTGTATGCAGTAGCTTGCCCTGCCAGTGTGGGTGGGGTGTGGTTTTCTCCTTGGTAGTTCCTTGATTAGGGTAGTGTTTTCTGCCTGTTTGTTTGGGGCTGATCTTTGCTTATCTGAATGTTGGCTGCTGGAAGGGATGTGTCGTAGTGTTTTTGTTTCCTTCCAAGGTTTTTTATCATCTCTTCTGAATGGTGTGTAATGGTCTTACATAGCCAGATAATGAATTACCAATAGAAGAGAATATGTATAGCTCAGGGTTGAACTGTGGAGTCCTTGGTGTTCTCTGAGCTTGATTGTTTTCTTGTAACGTTTGCAAGCTGAAGATGTTACCTAGCCAGGTAACGAAATGTTTGCAAAAAAACAATCAAGCTCAGAGAACACCAAGGACTCCACAGATAATGAATTGCATGAGATACCTGGGATATGTGATAGTTCAAACGTATTCAGAGAATTATGCATTTTACAACTTGCAGGATCAACACCATCCCTTGATTCTGTCATGGTGCCAGCCTTCTGTTCCAAAAGTCCCCCAAACCTGACTCTTCACAGCAGCCTTGGGATAAGATGGATTCTGAGCTCCTGTCAGTTTCTTTTTTGTGTGCTATGTATGTTTTTTTCCTGGACATACATGAATTTTTAAATTGTTCTTTACTTTTTAAAGTGTAAGCTGCCCAGAGTATTTGGAATCAGGCAGCCAATCAATTTTAAAAGATAAATAAAATAAATCAAAACAGATAAAAATGTTTTTTTCCTAACTAGTGATACACAATTATAAAGAACAAATTAAAGACATAAGATACGAGCAACTTCTCAAAGAAACAGTTTGTTATAAATATATAAGCTAGGGAGATCTAAAATGGGGTTCTCTACGGTGAGAGCTTTATCTATAGGCTCTCACCATAGAGAACCCCTTTTTAGATCTCCCCAGTTTGCATATAGGCTTCCTTTATATAAAGAAATGGAACCAATCTAGTGTCCAGATCATGACTAGCACATATCTCTCATTGGAATTGAGCGCATTTCATCTCACATTATCAAGTACGATAGATCCATTCTAACCAATTTTCAGAGAAATTGTCTTCTTTCTAAAGGTTATTCTACAGATAGTTCACCACTTCCAAAATCAACTCCTAGACAAATTATGTGTCTCAGGCCCAAGCTTCTGTAAACTTCAGGAGCAATTTTGTTTAGACACTAGCTTTGTTATATCGTAGCAGGAATAGATCTCACAATACTCTGAACAGTCTTGCTATGTTTTCTAAGTACATTTAAGACAGCAACATTTTTACTCACATCAAATCCAGGACTGAATCATTCCGTATAATCTTATGAACAACATCAGCCAACAAAAACAGCCCGCCATCTGTCCTTCGGATACTGGCTGCATAGCCAGGCCATATTTGCAACCTTTGAAGAAAATAAATGGTACGCAAAGGAAAACACTCATTTTTCAGTGTCAAAGGCACAGTCAATATTATTTCATGAACAGTCATAGTTAATAATTGCTACTGTCTGTATCCACTGTTTACAATCCCCACCACAGTTATCATATGCATCTGATGAGATTTTAGTTTACTGTATTAAAAGATGCAGTCATAGAACAATCTGATGAGATAAAATTAAAATATATTACATGATGACATTACAATCTAATTTAATGTTATATATTTATTATTGTTGCTCTAATA